GTAATAATACTAGGTTTCGTCGAAGAAAATTATTTTTAAGAAGCGAAGCGCTGTCTGAGTTCGGAATCACCACTTTTTTCAAGTGAGTGCATAGTTACTTTCATCTTACTCATAGATATGAAGTATTTTATATAAACTACGTGTTATGTGTGCATATTATCTGTATAATTGCTATTTATGCAGGATGAACGATTTTATACAAGTTTTATATGATTTAAACTGTATATGTATTTATATCTACATAATATGTTGGGTAAAACATGGGTAGATGAAATATGAGTTGGATGATAAGTTGAGAGGTGATATTGACCATGAGGTAAGGGTGAGAGGTGGACGATGTGAGAAGCCTTGTTCCCAAATTGTACCGTCATAAAATTTTCAACCAAAAATTTTCGTTTTTACAACCATCAAATCATGATTAAAAGGTTTAATTTCCAAGGTAACAATGTAGTCACAACCGATTACATAACAAAAGATAAAATAGTTTTCCCCGAGTGTGTGTACGGTCACGCTGGCGCCTTCCCACGGTCCTCCCTCGTACCTGAAACACATAATACAACAACTGTAAGCATAAAGCTTAGTGAGTTCCCAAAATACAACATACGCACATACGCCTTTCCAGGCCTTGACCTTCCGGTCCATGTGTCTCAGGGGACTTCCGTCCCGACTGGGTAAACCTTCCGGTCCTACCCACGTCAATCCTTATAGTCCATACGACTACGCCTTCCGGCCCATATCAAACATATCATACAGGACACATATAGCAAATAACTTAACACACATAAGACATATATTTCATATCATATTCGACCTTCCGGTCACACAGTCAAAACCCTTCCGGGTACAGTATAGTGAGAAGACTCACCTCGTATGCCTCGCTAAGTCGCTAATCGCGAATCCTGGAATCACTCGGGCTCGAACCCTCGAGCTGCAATCCTCCTATGATATTATAAATCTATAATTATTACTTGTACCACTAAGGTGGACCATCCATATCAAGTCAACACAGGTTGACTTGGTCAGCAGTCTTTATACAATTTGGACCAGACTCGGCGAGTGCACAATGGCGACTCGGCGAGTCTACGCGTTTTCACCAACTCTCAAGGATTTTCCCTTCGACTCGTCGAGTACTCCCCCGACTCGACGAGTTCCACCTGGGCCTGAATCACAGGGCCACCGCGACTCAACTCGCCGAGTCGAAGGTCAACTCGGCGAGTCCCAACCTGACTCGGTCCACCTGTCAACACCTTTCCAACTCTCTGCGACTCACTGAGTCGCCCACAACTCGGTCCGGACTACGCACAGGATGGTCTCAAGGACAATCTTCAAGCGACTCGTCGAGTCTGTTCTTCAGACTCGGCGAGTCCATGCCATGCACCAGCTAAAACTGGCTTTTGTGGTCAGGTCCGTTCCATATATACATAGATCTGGCCTTCCCAAGCTTATTTGTCACGTAAAGTCTCAGTCTTGGTTGCCATGCAATGCATACAAGGCTCATTTTAAAGAAACAACCACTTATTTGGCAAGTTTAGCTTCTAACTCAAAAGAATGGACATAAAGCTTGACATGAGGGGTCTCCTGGACCTGCTTAAGTCCAGATCTAGGTTCCATGTCTCCATGGGACCTCTCATACTTCTTATTCAAGCCAATAAATGCAAGAAGAAACCCTAGATTTGGCCCATCAACACAAAACACGAAGATTGGCTCAGAAAATTACCTCAAGAAGACCCCCTTGATGAAATAGCAACAGATCTAAGCTCCCCAACACCTCAAGCTTGCTCCTCTCCCTCCTTTCCTTGCAATATCACACAAAATGATGAACAAAAGGCCTTCAAACACACTCACAAGGGCTTACAGACGTATGGAGGCTCTTAGGGTTCAAGGTGGCCGCATATGAGGGCCATAAGGTCCTTTAAATAGGGCTTAGGACCGGGAAATTAGGGTTTCATTAAACAGCGCGGACTCGCCGAGTCCATCCCTTGGACTCGCCGAGTCCGGATGCGAAGCCCCGCTCAAAAACGCGACCCGACTCGGCGAGTTCGACTACCAACTCGCCGAGTCCCCTCACAGAATGATAAAAATATGTGAAGTGGAGATACCTGGGGATTCGGGCTGTTACACAAATGTTGGCCCCGTCATCTAGCAGAGTATGGATGACAACCACTGACTATTCTAGACAGTCCAGTGGAACACTAGCAGGCTCGCAACCTGTAGGTATTGTTAACGATGTGTTCACCGGTGTACTCTAAAAACTCATTGACATGTATTGCGAATGGACTCTCGAAAATGATAATGTCAATAAACGAGATAACCCTAGCAGTTGTGCTCGAACGACAATACTGGCAATTGCGCCTAAGTGATAGAACTAGCAGTTGTGCTTGACAGTTGTGTCATTGACAACGATGAACTTCGTACCTATTCCTTAGGATAATCCTTGGGAATGAATGAACGAGAAATAACTGATTCTTAGGGTAGATCCTTAAGAGTAAAGACGATAATGGGGATGGGTAATTGGGTTAACTGTTTGATGATTAAACATAATAATTATATTATTGTGGGTTGAAAACCCTATGTACTCACCAGGTTTCCCAACCTGACCCACTCAGTTTATTTATATCACAGGTGTTGATATGAAGTCACATTACACTGAGAGATTAAGAAGATATAAATCACTAGTGATAATGAATGTAAGTTATCTTTATGCTTATGTTTCTGTATTGACGATGACATCCCAAATGTTTTAAAATGAATAAAAATACTTTTCTTCGGAAATGTTTTGATAACGTATTTATCATGTTTTACTGGGAACAAATTCCGCAACATTTTTATTAAAAGAGGTACTCTGATTTTTATAAAGCATAAAAAAATCGGTCTTTTCTGGCCAAGAAAATGGGGATGTCACAAAATACTTTGCTTTACTTACGAGGTGAGTGTTCTCACTATACTTACCTGAGTGGTAATTACTGTGTGACCGGAAGGTTTTATTTGTGTTATTGACGTGAGGGTCTTATGTGCTTATACTGAGATATGTGATATTATGCATTATGTATTTGTGATTTATGATGTATATTATTTTATGCATTATTGAGATAGGACCAGAGGGTCCAAACTGAGTCGTGAGACCGGAGGGTCTTCACTGAGATAGAGGACTGTAGGGTCCAACCCGAGTTGTGGCACCGGAGGGTCTTCACTGAGACATATGACCAGAGAGTCCTTATCGAGATATAGGTATGAGAGGCTGATTATTTGTGTATGATATTTTGGGGAACTCACTAAGCTTCGTGTTTACAGTGTTGTGTGATATGTGTTTCAGGTACATCTCAGGATCGCGGAAAAACACCGGCATGATTATACACACCAACTGGTTGATTTGTGTTTTGAGGATTCTAGGATATTTGACAAACGATTTTCATGTCTTATGTTTGAAACATTTATAAATTGAGTATGAGAGATATTAAACTGTGTTTTTTGTTGAATTAAAAATAAAATTTTTATTTGAAAAATTAGAGTGTTACACTTACCTAGAAGTGCACATTTACTGATTTTAACTGTTTCAGTTTTTAACAAAACTTGTTTGATGTTTAATTGAATTTTTCTACAATGGTTTTGATTTTAATCAGTTTGTTGTTTTTCGGGTTTTTTGAAGTGAATTTAAGTTTCTAAAAAATTCGGTTAACCCCCCCCCCCCCCCCCACCCTTCTTCCAAAAAAAAAAAAAAAATTGTTTCAAATATTTATTAATCAGTTTTGGAAAAAACTACTTCTCAAAAAACCTTTTTAGTTTTTTTGTAGGTTAAAATAACAGTTTGGATGTCCACCTCTACTCTTCCCAAAGTAAGGATACCAAGGGTAAAAGTTTCTCATAATCGGTGTTCTTATATTCTCCTATATAGGAGATCTAAGTATTGTATATAAAATGTCCTAACCACACAAGTTTAAACTCACCTAAAACATGAATACACATGATCATGATAAAAAAATTTAAATGTATCTTAAAATACTGCAAATTATTTAAAAGAAACTACATTTTACAAGTCATTCTAAAAAATGCCTTTAAAGCATTATCAAAACATTTGAATGAAAAGAATGCCACAAATTATTATACATAGAAATGAGTATACATATTTATGTATACTCATGCTTTGATGAGTATACATGTAGTTTTACACACTATTGAAGAAAAACGTCCAACTACATCATTATATTTGGGGGTAACTAGTAAGTGTTCAAAGCGTAAAGTAATAACCTCAAATGTACACTAACATCCAATAAGCTCTTCGAGATATAAGAATTGTTTAAGGACACCTATAAATGTTCAATTATGTAAAATACCATACTTAATCAGCTCAACTACTTAACTTCTGTTGACATACACTTAATGACACTCATATACCTCTTAAACTATCATAATAGAAGTTTGATGAATGCAAGTAAAAAATGAGTGCACATATCCGCATATCGTTTGTACTACTGTCCTCTTATTTAGCCTTGTTTTCATGTTTGTCCATATCGTTTGTACTACTGTCCTCTTGTTTACCCTTGTTTTCATGTTTGTCCTTAATAGGATCAAATTAAAACACATGTACGTATGTACATATGTACACACATGACCAACGAATCAATGCACCTTTATGTCACAAAAAAACAATTTACATCTCTCTGTAATAAATATGTTTTGTATCCTAAGAAATTTATGTATTAACAATCTAGTTTGATTTTAATCATTTTGAAGCTCCAATCCTTTTTCCATTCTAAAAAATGATTCCGAAGTATTTTTGACTGGTATAAACAAAAATGATTCCGATGTATTAACAAAAACTCATTATAATAATACAATAAACTAAAAAAAAAACATCACCAAAAACATAATCTACAATCAACCATATATATTAAATATTATATAGGCAAATTCAAGAAACTTTATGAATTCAAATCAATATCTACCAACCTAGAAATAATATATATGGAGTGGATTATGTGTAGCACTTTTATCTTCATACCTATTTACAAATATTTTTATAAGAAAAAAAAAAAAAAACAGAATATATCATGTTTTAGGGGGCAGGGGCAGCGGTGGCTGTGACTTGGGCTTTCTATACAAACTGCCCGAACCAGAACCAGAACCATGAAGATCAGAATGTTGGGCAGGGGCAGGGGCAGTTGGGGCAGATTGAGATAATGGCTGAAAATTTGTATTACCAACAAACCAGTAAAGTGCCCATTTTAAATTACAGAGCGTATACTTCAAAGCTTTTGTCCAATTCTCTGGTTTGTTAAAGCTCTGTGTGATCGAATAGCTTTCCACTTTGTCATTCTCAATCCTGTTGTTACCACCATTCACCAAAAATATATATATAAATATAAATATAAGAGACTAAATGACCATTTTACCCTTGCTTACTTGTAAGGAAGCTTGAAACATTTATCAGGTGGGATGTTGTTTTCTTTATCTTTAGAGTTTGCAAATTCTGCAAAGTCTTTAAGACAGCTCAAGAACAATGTCATTGCCTTGTCATATCGTGTGCTCCAAAACAAATTCACTGGACCAAACCTATTAACAAAATGACACGTCAGCAGTAAATTACATGTGGACAATGGACATGGCACAAAACACTTGTGCCATGTCATCAAGATTCACATCAGGTCAACAGCAATGGGTAATTTTTAAATAGAAAGTAAATTGGTATTTTCTGCATTTAGCCCAACATAAAAAGAGTAAATTACACGAATGGTCCCTATGGTTTTAGGGTAATTTGCGTGTTTGGTACCTAACTTATTTTTTTAACTCGGAAGGTCCCTACTGTTTGTTTTTGTTACGTGTTTGGTCGCTGTCTTACCTAAAAAGACTATTTTGCCCTTTGTTTTTTAATTTATTTAAATAAACACACCCCCATCACCTTACCTTACCTACCTCACAATTTTTCCCTATTTAAATAATAGTCTTTTTAGGTAAGACAAGGACCAAACGCATAACAAAAACAAACAGTAGGGACCAAGCGCATAACAAAAACAAATATTAGGAATCTTCCGAGTTAAAAAAATAAGTTAGGGACCAAACACGCAAATTACCCCAAACCATAGGGACCATTCGTGTAATTTACTCAAATAAAAGACTTACAGCTCATAGGTATTGTTGCTGCTATCCATTATTCGAGGGTAACTTCCCATAGGAAGGATTTTTATTCGGTATCTGTTCAAAAACATGTTAAGGATTATCTCATATCAAAAAGATAACATTTTATATAATTATTTAAAAAAAAAAAAAAAAAAAGGATACTGAAACTTTGGTCTAAAATATTGAGCCATTGTGTGAAGCAAAAGGCAAGCCTGTCCCCATGCAGCATTTATCTCATCCCACTCAACCTATTTCCACACCCATCATTTTGCAAACCATAAATTTAATTGCAGAAAATAGAAAAAGTATTATTTATATTAAGAGTGTTTAAGTTATAAAAAGCAACAAACCGGAATTTTAGGAAGTCTCCCCAATCTGAAATTGTTGATTGTTCCAAATTCTCCATCATACCAAATTGGAAACGCATCATTCAAAACATTAGTCCTCTTTAAAAGCTCTAAATGTGCTTGTGAAACTTCAATTTTTGCCAATATTGCATCTCTCTCTTCCTGTTACATAAAAGATTTTAAAATGTAAAGTTTAACATTACACAAAATGAGACTAATTATCAAACTCACCTGATGAGATATCAACTGAAATTGGAAATTATTGAACTCGTGCCAATATCTGATTACAAACATTTCAAAAAACAGTTGGTAAATCCTTCAAATAAGTGAAGTAGTTGACTTCTTACATATTATGTCAAAAGTAACTTACCTTTCTTCCAACTCTTTGAATCGATTAGATTTGAGTTCGAGTTCCTTCAATTCACCAGTTACTTCGGTGCACTCTTTTTCTGTTTCTTGAATTGCTGCTTCAAGTTTACGTTCTTCTTCTTCTATCTTCAATATCATTTAAAACAAAGAGGATACAGATACTTTAATACTGCTTTGTTACGATTTATGAAAAAATAAAACTTGAATGTCTTTCTGTGTAATGTATTTACCTTTAGTTTCTCCCTTAAAAAGTCAGCTTCACTAAGAACATTCCTAGGTTCTCCCTCTAAGCGCTGAAGGCAAGCTTCATATGATTTTATGTCGCTATTCACTTCTTCAACCTCTTTATCAAGTTTATCAGATAACACCCTCATGCATTCCAGGCATAAAGGTTGTTCAACCTGTGTTTGTGTTGTGGCTATCTCAAATGCACGTTTCAAGACAGTTATGGTTGAGTGGAAACCAGAGTTGTTTGATTGTGTAGGAGCAGAATTGGATCCACCTTCATGTGAATGAACATGGGCCCCACCTCCATCAGCTGCAGGGTCGGATTTGTACACAGAGGCAGCAGGTGGAGGTAATACCACGAATGAATCTTCCATGGTTTTTCCAGAGTGCGTTGAATCAGGATTCATGGCTCCATTACGTGGACGAGGCGGAACACCCGATGATTGGTTCCTTTGTTTTGGCAATACAACAAATGATTGATCCATTCGTGTGCCTAACACACTGCCTGCTCCATGCATCGAAGAGCCCTGCATCCCTGAATGTTTCAACTCATGTTAATTGAAATTTCATAAAACTCGAAACGAAACATGAATAATTTCCTGAACTTCTAGTTTAAGGTGTTTCACAGGGTAATTGCTACGCAATTCAATCAAAAGCTCACGCTCCAGCTGCATTGCTTTAGTAATCGTTCTCCAACTATGATTCATAATTTCACGATTCTAGTAATCAAATAGTAAAATTGGGAGGGGAGGGGGGAAACCCTAACCGGATCGGTAAGTGGAAGAGTCATTGAAGAATTTATCAGGGTAAGAATCAACGCCGGTGATGGAGAGACTGTGACGGCAGTTCTGGCAGACCCACCGTGGAAGATTCGGATCAACTGGCAAGGCCCGAGTCTTATCCGACACCATATTGTTATTGCTGTTGTTCTTCATATCATCTCTGTTGAATTTCTTCCGATTACATATGTATGTGTGTTTCGCGAAGAGATTTGGGACGCTTTATAAGAATTAGGAGTTCAAAGATCGATAGGGTAAAAGTAAATCCAATTTTGGGGATAAACCCGTAGACTGTTGCTGTTAGCCTGTTACGATTGAAGATGTGAATTTTTTATTTAAACCTTCTACTAAATTATTTGACAAATATGCCCTCTTTTTCCTTGGAAATTTGCATTTTCTCCGACACCAATTATATGGGGAGTAAATTACTGAAATCGACTCTGTGGTTTGGTCAAAATTGCACGTTTGATCCCTAACTTTTTTTTTGCACTCGGATCGTCCCCGTGGTTTGATTTTGTTGCGTTTTTCATCCCTATGGTTTGGTAAAAGTTGCATGTTTGGTCCTTAACTTTATGTATGTAAGGGACGAAAAATGCAACAAAATCAAACCACATGGACGAAAAACGCAAAAAATAAACCACAGGGACGATCCGAGTGCAAAAAAAAAATTAGGAACCAAACGTGCAATTTTGACCAAACCACATAAACGATTTCAGTAATTTACTCTAATATGGGGGAAATAACTTAGGAGGGTAACTAACTATTATCCATGTTCATATATTAGCAACTTTTTTTTTTTTTTACATAATAAAATAACTAACTTGTTTAACTGTTTAAATTACACCAATATTATCGGCTAATACTTGTTTTAACTAGTAACTCAAAGGGAAAATGACTTAGGAGGGTAACTACCTCTTATCCGTGTTCACATATTAGCAACTTCTTCTTTTTTGTACATAAGAAAGCAACTAACTTGTTTTAACTATGTAACATCTCAAAAATCATGACCAAAAATTTCGTTTTTAATTTAATACTAAAACCATAATTGTCAAACCATTAATTTAATTCTCCGGCATCAGTTCCCGCCTGGCATCGAGCCCCGCTCAGTATACAGATTTATCTCTCTTAGGCCCCCGCCTGTCTCTCGGCCCCGCCCGCTAAACACATACAATCATATAACATGCTAACAAATAAATAAACATACTCTACTATATCCCTGGCCTAAGAAACATACTTTGCTAATAATGAGACATGAAACTTCGTTCGTACTCAGTTAGTTCCATCCAGGGCTTCAGCAGTGCAATGTGAGTCTCCTTACTGTGTGAATGGGTCTAAGGCCACAATGTCAACCCATGTAGTTTATGAGTAGGAAGACCCGAGGGTTAGCCCTAGGCATTGTATGCTAGTATGTTATTCCGGACTAAGGTTCAATGTCAGGCGGGTGCCCGAGGAATGTTTGCATGTTAGATTATGCTTGTTGTCTGTGTGATACTTGTATGTGCCTGACAGGGAGGTGAGTGTGGGCGAGGTCCCGTATCTCATCACTAGCTAAGTACGGATAAGGTTTCGTATCTCATTATTAGCAGAGTATGTTTCTTAGGACAGGGATATAGTAGAGTATGTTTCTTTATGTGTTAACATGTTATATGATTGTATGTGTTTAGCGGGCGGAGCCCGGAGATAAGCGCGGCCTAAGAGAGACAGATTTGTATATCGAACGGGGCTTGATGCTGGGCGGGGCCTGATGTCGGGCGGGACCCGATGCCGGAGTATTAAATTAATGGTTTGACAATTATGGTTTTCGTATTAAATTAAAAACAAAATTTTTGGTCATGATTTTTTGGATGTTTGTAACGTCCGCAGATCCGGACTAGTCAATTTAGAGACAATGTGTGTCAAAAATGAGTTTTTGATGAAATATTATTTAGAAGTATTCATCTTAACCAAGTTGTAGTATATGTTACAAGGGTTCCGTACATATAAAGAACGCCGAAATCCGAGTTATAACGAAGAAGATATAGGCCGTCGAAGTTTTACGGCAAAACCGACACAGCACCGGGAGACGTAAATAGTAAATTTACAATAAAGGACTTCTTAGCCTTATTGATCTAAACAAAAGATGTAGTATAAGTTAAACCGAGAACATACTAAAAAAGAACGCCCAAATCTGACTTCGTATGAGGAAATTATGAATTTTCTAAGATTTGGTGTAGCAGTGCACAGCCCGAAACTTGAATTTTAGATCGAGCGGTTTTTGGCCTACGCGACCTAAATGAGAATTGAATGTCTCATTAATAGGAACTCAACGGTAAAAGGACAGATGAAAAGGGAGTATGTATGTAGAAGTTATGAATTTTACGCGAACATTTAACAATATAATCTCCTCGTACTGTTAAATTTAAGATCGGTCGAGAATCAGCCGACGGAGTCAAAATGAAATTTGTAGATCGTATTTTTACCTACGTGTGGATATAAATAACTTAAAAATGGAGCCTGTATGTGAAAGTTATGGAGTTTAGAAGTCGGAAGTGTGTTGTGCAAAAATGGGTGACGTGACACAATCTTGGTCATTGCTTTCTCCCCAAGTCTTGCCACCAAATGGTGACATGTGGCACCAAGTTCAGCCATATTTCACCCTATAAATAGAACCTCTCTCACCCTCATTTTCTTCACACCTTTCCCATTCTTTATTCTCTTTACTCTCTCTCTCTCTCTAAAATCTCTCTCTAGCCCTGAAACCCCCCGAAAAGCCTATGGAACCTCCCTAGCATGAAAAAGAAGCCTCGGAGCGCCCGACGGCTCCGAGAAGAAAAGCTTCCGTCTTGGAAACGCTGCTCTAGAGAAGCCCATTTTTTAATAAAAACCCGTTGTAAGTGAGCTACGCCTACACTATTTCTAATATAGCTTTTATTTAAATATAGTAATGTTATTAGGACCTTATAATAATTATTTGGACTATTATTATGAGTTATATAAGTGTCGTTATAATATCTTTTTAACCACTCGCGGTACGGGGAATCTGGTTTAAAGGGCCGCATAGGGTTGTTGGATTTCAGACGTGCTATATGCCAAAATGGTTCTGCCCTCCGATGTTTCATGTTTGGCCCCTGTCTGTACATAGCAGGTGAAGAGTATTGTTTAACACTTATATAATAGTAATAATAGTTAGACTATTAATTAGTCTCGATAAATATTAGACTAAACTCTAGTGGTAATGAAAATAGGTTTTGTCCAAGAAAAATTGTTTTGAGTAAACGAAGTGCTGTCAGAGTGCTGAGTCACCACCTTTTCAAGTGAGTGCATGGTTAATATGGGCATATTTAGCTATAAAATCCATGCATTATCTTAATACTTTATGTTGTTTTTGTCTCATTTAATGAAAAAAAGGTGCTTAATTAGTTTATAATTTCATTTTTCAGCAATAATGACATGCTCGGAAGGAAAAGGAAGCGGAACTAGCGATTGGAGGCTTGGATATTGGATTTTGCAGAAAGAAGGATGTTGCTAGACAGCTTGACCCCTCGTCAGTGTTTTGGCCATATCTCATGAACCGTAACTCTGATTGACGAGATTTAAAATGTTCTGAAAACTAGACACAATTTCGGACGACTTACGTGTTTTGAGAAAATGCTGATTCCAAATGGACTCGGCAAGTTGGTCAGAAGTTTCGCGATTCTGGACGCGCTGACTTGCCCTGCACGGGTTTTAAGTGACAGACTCACCGAGTTGCCCCTGTTTTGTGAAAATCTATATAAAGGGACTTTCAGATCGATACCCTAGCATATAGATGAACCCTTGGAGGCCAATTGTCGACTAAAGGTGCTTGTGGAGCGTGGGAAGCAAGGGAATCAACCCTACATTCAATTTTAAGGAGAATCAAGTCAAAATAAAGTTTACTCTTACCTAATCTCTTGTTTGAACTATGTTTTTACCAATTGATTTCGTTTTTGTGCTTATTTCTGCTGTAATCATGAGCTAAAAACTCATAACTTCTATTTAGGTAGATGAATTTGTGAACATGGATTGATTATTTGATTAGGATTAATTTTAATTGGTGATTATGTTTTATTAAGCTTGTTAAAGAACCTTATGTGTTAACAATAACTATTCTTCTGTTAATAAATCAGTAATTAAGTTGTATGGACATCTCTTAGTTGCTAATTTCATATGATTTACGTGACCACATAGTTGTATGTCTAGGAATAACAAATGTGAAACTAGAATTAACTTGAAGATAGGTAAGTTAATGTGTGAGCTTGTGTGATACACCATCAACAAGAGGTTAATTGAATCACCAATTTGATTAGCTAATTACAATTCTTTCTAAACCCGAATCAACAAACTAGGAAATTCATGAATTTAGACAATTGGCCATTGCTTGAATTAATATGTTTTCTGAGGATTAGTTATAGCGAATGTGAATCTAATCACTTTAGTCGGTAACCAATGAAGAATTAATCCGATATATTTACCATAAAATCATCCATGGGAACAAATGATTCGAACCTAAACAGAAGGCCTTTTTAATCATGGAATTTAGTTGATCTTTGTTTTCTTAGCTATTAGTTGCTTAGTTTGCGTGTTAGTAAAGTATTTAAGTTTCTAGTCTTGCAAAACTAGAGAAACCCCCTTTCTATTACTTGTTTTATTTAGATAATATTAGCATTTATTTTAATTGTTTACTGTTCCATGTGTTCAATACCATACTTTCTTGAACTATATTACTAATCGATAGGTACATTGCCGTTCGTGTGTTTATTTTGTGTCTAAGTTAGTAGGATTAAAACTAGTTCGTTTTACACACATCAATGGTCTCTTTCATCTTACACATAGGTATGAAGTATTTAATATAAATTACATGTTGTGAGTGCATGGTTACTTTCATCTTACACATAGATATGAAGTATTTTAATATAAATTACGTAATATATGTGCATATTGTCTGAATACCTGCTGTCAATGCTGGGTGAAAGATTTTTATACATGTTTAAAATTATTTAAACTGTATATGTATTTTATATCTATAATGTGTTGGGTAAAACATGGGTAGATGAAATATTTGATGTGTGATAACACGATGAAAGACATCAATGTTGACTGTGATCCAGTCATCTAGTAGAGTATAGATGACGACCACAGACTATACTAGACAGTCCAGTGGAAAGCTAGCAGGCTCGTAACCTGTAGATGTTTTTGAACTAGGTGCTCATTAGGTATTTTGAACTGAGTGTGTTCACTAGGTATTTTTGAACTAAGTGTGTTCACTAATTATTTTTGAACTAAGTGTTCACAAGATGTGTAACA